TTATGTTCTGATTTCGATAATATTGCCTTTACTGAGACTTGTCTAAAATATTGTATGAGCGAAGTTTAAAGTTTTACCCAGTTGGTTTCAAAAATTCTGTATCAGCAAGTTTTGGAATTTTAAGCGCAACGCACAAACACTATTTAGTTTACCTCTCGATTAACTTCAAAGTCAATTTAATAGATCTTTATAAAAATTAATGTAAGATCTATTTCGCAAACATGGGAGAGCGGCTTTTCCGAATGCGTGTAATGCGCTTGAAACTATTTTTAAGAAAGATTTTTGATATGGAACGTATAGTAATAAAAACTTGCAAACAACAATTTTCCTCGATTTTTCCACACACATAAGATAAATACACGTCTCTTTTCTAACTTTTATGAACTTTTGAGCTTTGCGTTGATCACCAAATCAATCAGAACAAATAGTTTTATGTTAAATAAAATTCAGTTGTCAAAACTATTGATCATATTTTTATAAAATAATACATTTCTTATGAATGTAATATGGATAGATAAAACGAGTAAGAAGCTTTAGTCGGGAGCTCACAAGGGGATACCCTGAATCCTATTCTTCCAACACCAAATGCATTTTCTTTCGTGTTTCTTAACCGATCTTGATGAAATTTTTAGTAGTAAATCTTATTGTACTATAAAATATTCGTATATTCTGAAAATGACAATTGCATTTAAATGTGTGGCGTAATTGGTTTACTAACATGATTTATAGTTTTGTAGATATATATGTACTATTCTAGAAGCTACATGTCAAGTTTGGTGAATTTTCCAAAATTGCTCAAAAAACAGCATCGATTTTTATCGATTACTTGGAAACGGGGCAAGTTATCGAATATCGGAATATCGGACAAACTCGATCTGCGCGGGCATTAGGAGGACCTACAGTTAAAATTTCAAGTCTCTAGCTCTAATAGGTTCTGAGATCCCTGCGTTCATACATACGAAGAGACAGACAGACGGACATGGCTAGATCGACTCAGCTATTGATGCTGATCAAGAATATATATACTTTATGGGGTCGGAGATGCGTCCTTCTGCCTGTTACATACATTTGTACAAATATATTATGCCCTTTTAACCCATTTTCAGTGGGTTCAGGGTATAAAAATTCTTATTTATAGTATATTCCTTATATCCACTCACCTGTATGTACGGCATCCCATTTATCATATCTAATCCGCTGTGCTGTAGCTTTTGCATTTGATCTATAACCTCCTGGTAACGTTTACTTCCGACGTCCACTAAACGGAAGGCTGTTATATTTACGCTGTTGTATCTGAAATCCTCAAGGTCATACGTCTCCAAATCCTGTGTGTGCACAAATATGTTAACAAAAAATGATAATGAACGTTTATCTAGTACTTACGAAGGTGGTAAACATATAATGATATCGATGGTCGTTCATTTGCAGCTGCAGAATCTGAAATTGTAAGTCGACCTTTAGCTTATCTTAAGCCAAATCATATCGATTGCATAGAATTTAACTATATATATAACGAATTGTAAATGCTAACTATAATGTATCTATAGTAAAGGCCGAATGGGTTTCTATACTTTAAGTAAAAAAACATTTGCTACCCTCTTTGAATACGTTTGTATTAAAAAAAATATACAAACACAATCGAATAATTTAGTACAAATTGCACCGGTATTATCCTGATACTAATTCGGAATCCTTTTCATTTTTACACACTTATGCCTATTAATAAAACTTTATCAAATATTGGTTTGTCTCGATTTGTTTATCTTTTAAGTAAGACAGGCAGAGAAACGCGATGATTGGCGCACAGAAGCTTGATATGCATATAAAACGTACTTGTTCGTATTTCCCGGCCTTGCTCGGTTTTATGATAAAAATTTTAGAAAATTAATAACAAAATTTAAAATCTTGTTCCTACAACCTTGACCCGCATTCCTTTAAACAACAGATTTGAATTAGCAAAAAATATCTTTGAAAAAAGGGTTTACGTGTAGAATTTCCAAAATCACTGAGAACGTAGTCATTAAATCTTGATGTAGAGTCTTAAGCCCTACATTTAACCCACATTTTCAAGCCAGGAGGAGCATAAAACGATCTAGAAGCCGATCGTAAGCAAAACAGTTTCATACAACCGATTTCCGCCAATTTTTCGTAGTTACCAGTGGAATTTCCGAAATCACTGAAACAAGTATTCATTAAATTCTAATAAAGATCTTTGAAGACAACATTGAAACCCATTTTTGACCCTGCAGTTGTCAGTTTCTCGAAACGTGTGAAACACCACTGAAATAAATTTCAACAAAGATCTTAGGAATTTCCCTGTCTTACAGCCAAAAAGAAGACCTACGATTTTTGCCTAACAAAGTTGAAGGAGTTCTTTTTAGCCGGTTTTTAGCTAATGGAGATTTTCATTTTAAGTTTTAGCATCAACTACACAAATATGCTTAGGTTCTCATACATGTGCATTTTAGGACACAGATAATTACATACTAATATATTTAAATAAATGATATGAATCTTTCGTACTGATCGAAAAAAAGTTTTGATATTAGTTGGATTTGTGTCAACTATTATTTTGTAAATTTCCTTTTGGCGGATGGCTCGTAAAACTTGACGATAAGTCTCCGGATTTGCTTGCCTTATATACATTTCGGTTCTCATCTCCGCAGATGAGTGAATTAAATCCTGCTGCTTGAAAAGTCCTGAAATAAAAACGTTTTATATACATGAACACTTGGAATATTAACAATGAGAACTTTTTAAATTATTGAAAGCAAGATTAACTCGTTCGTTTGCTTGGACCCAAGAAAACACAATTACGTAGCTTGTCATTAGAAACAAATACATATAAATAATCTGAAAAACGAAAAAGTTGTTCATATAAGAACCTACTTTTCGACAGATCGTTCCTATGGCAGCTATATAATATAGTTGTCCGATGTTGTTAGGAGTTTGCATATATACGAGGAGCGTAGTAAAACTAATAAATGCCGAGTTTGATCAATATAGCTTGATAAACAAAAAAGATTTTTATATAAGAACCTACTTTTCGACCGAACGTTTCTATGGCAGCTATATGATATAGTGGTCCGATGTAAATAAGATTTAGCATAAATGGATGGAGCATGGTAAAACTAATAAATGCCGAGTTTGATTAACATAGCTTGATAAACAAAAAAGTATTCCATACAAGAACTTAATTTTTGACCGATCGTTCTATGGCAGCTATATGATATAGTGGTCCGATCCAGCTTGTTCCGACATATGTACTGCATGCACCAGACAGAAAGACTTCTGCAAAGTTTCATAAAGATAGCTTAAGAACTGAGCGACTAGTTCGCATAGAAACAGACAGACGGACAGACGGACTCGACTCGACTCGACTCGACTGTTGATACTGATCAAGAATATATATAGATTATGGGGTCGGAGATGTCTCCTTATATGCGTTACACATTCCACGACAACTAACTAAGCATAAAGGTATTTGAATAGGGCAGTAGTTACCATAATCTTCTTCGTAGATAATAGCGACTTTTGTCCAATTGAGATACATCATTAGATCGCGATAGGCTAAATTCATAATGTTTTGGGACGGATACAGATTGATGGAGAACTCCTTGACACTGATTTCTAAGTCGATGCGAACTTCAATGTGCGGAATATCGAAGGCTTCGCAAATTGATTGGACATGAGCCGCCAGCAGTGGGTCGGTTGGGCCAAAGATGGCCTGGACTCCGGCTTCCAATTGCCGACAGACCTTTTTCGTAGTCCGGAAGGAGTCGTCACGCGGCACATACTCAATATCGTAGACAAGCTGCGTGTTGGGCAGAAGTGATTTTTCTTTATTGATGCGGTAAATCGCATATTTAAATGCCGATTCAACGTTGCCTTCCCGTTCGTCTTCGGTAAATATAGCTCCTAAGAAATGGGTCAACAAAGGGTAAAATAAAAAAAGGAGAACGACATTAACTATAGTTCATATAGCAGCCTTACCGACTCGAATCACTGGAGGCAAGGCGTTCGCAACCAGCACCATGGATAGCAAAAACAAGTGTAGTATGGCGTATAGCCCGAAGGACGCCTTCAGGTGTATTGGCTCCTTTGTCATAAAGAAGGTGTTTCGTTTCAATTTCAACTGTCCGCAAAAAAAACAGCAATCGTTAACATTATCTAAGCATATCGTATACTCGTGTTGCACATTCATTTCACAGTCACAGTTTCTGATTGTTGCACATCTTCGATTTCGACAAGAATCGAAAGAAACAATTTAATCTGTATCTGTATATGTATCTGTATCTGTATCTGTATATGTTTTACGCAATTCCCTTTATTGTTGTTTCCTTTTTCAAATTGAAGTGCACTTTTTGCGTGTTTCGTATTAAAATGAAATCAATGCACTCTCTATTTATTCAATTTATACAGCATGAACTTCGCAAGTGCGATATATACAGCCACAAATCTTCAATTGTCAGATTATATTTTATTAGGGAAGCTTTCACATGGCTCGAAGCTTTCACCTAAATTCGCAGCACGCATGCGCCTAGAATTTTGCCCTAGAGCTTTGCCGACTACAGTTTATGAAACCTTACATCCTTACATCTGTCATTTACATTAATCCAATTAGATATCTTGAGTTTGAAATCAATTTATTAAACTTCAATTCAAATTAAAACTCAATGTGCTTTGCTCTCTAACCTTTCACCTTCCTGTTAGTATTCCATGCAGCATAAGTGCTGTATGTGAAATTGGCATTTACATGCATAATATAATATAATTTAATATATTTTCGATAAGTATAAACCAAGTTAACAGTACTTGGTAATCGTGAATGCATACGCATAAACATGAAGCCAACGTGCATATGTATGTACATATGTAGAAGTGTTATTGTATTTCGTTATTTGTACATACGTACATATGTATGCACCTATATATTCAATAGCTCTCTCCCATGGAATATTGGTTCAAGTTCAAGCTATTGATTGCACAGTTCAGCCAGTACAGAGCGTGCACTCTACATTGGCGGTAACATTCCCCAAAGCCCGCTTAAGATGGGGGAAAACGTAAAAGTTATTGTGCGCTGTCGGCCCATGAATCGAAAGGAAATTGACAACAAGTCAGATGTATGTGAAAGCTACTTACATACACTCTAACAAGCACATACATACATACATATATTATGTGACCACTCGTATAAATAATTTAAACATATTCATCATGCGTGCATGGCTGCATTCACATATGACATATCTATATAAATATGCATGCATGTCTGCATACACAGATGACATATATATATATACATGCGTACATGTCTGCATGTACAAATTTAATTATTGCCCAAAAAGCGGACAGATTTTAAATAAAAATATTAATAATGATAAAAAAAAAAGTTACAGATGACATATATATATATGCGTGCTTGTATGCATGCACATATGACATATAAATATGCATGCATGTCTGCATGCACAGATTACATATCTATATAAATATGCATGCATGTCAGCATGCACAGATGACATATCTATATATACATGCGAACATGTCTGCATGTACATATTTAATTATTGCCCAAAAAGCGGACAGATTTTAAATTAAAATAATAATAATGTTAAAAAAAAGTGTCAGATGACATATATATATATATGCGTGCTTGTCTGCATGCACATATGACATATCTAGATATACATGCGTACATGTCTGCATGCACAGATGACATGTCTGTATACATATATATGCATGCGTGCCCGCATGCCCAGATGACATATCTAGTTCCATACTATAGTTTTTAAAGCTAGCAGTCCTCGATAGACCAGATTTCTATGTTTTTTAGGATTTTGGCTGCAAATCAGATCTCAGTACCTATAAAGTCCCTATATATCAAGTCAACATGGTATCTTACACACATATTCAGAATATTTCACTTGTTTGATATCACTACTTCTTTCTTCCAAAATGGAACAAAAAAAATGTTGGTAGATATAGGCTTAGGCTTAGGCTTAATTTAAGGACATTTGATTGCCATATCTATGTAGGGGCTATTTCCTGCACCTTATGAAGCTCGCTTTTACAGGCATTATTAAAAGAGGTTAAAAAAAAAAAACAGTTCCATTTTCCAGTGTGAACTAAAATAGCAGCATCTGTACTGCATACAATAAATCTCAATCGCAAATTCTTTCCAATTGTACATCAAATTTTGTGACTCTAGCTCTACAAAAGCAAGCAATTGCAAGTCTCTAGCTCTTATAAAGCTGACCAAGATAATGTGCACTTTATTGGGTTGGAGATACTTTCGGCTGCACAAAAGGATATATCTGATCTCATAGAATAATTGGGTTTGTCTTGAATTGAATTCGTACAGAGTATTGTGGAAATTGGCGACTACGCTGTGTCTGTGGTCAATCCCTTGGCTCGAACTGGTCCAAGGAAATCATTTACATTTGACAGCGTGTATGATGGTCTATCAAAAACCGAGACAATCTACAATGATATGTGCTACTCCTTGGTTGAAAGCACCTTGGAGGGCTATAACGGAACAATTTTTGCATATGGCCAGACTGGATGTGGCAAAACACACACAATGCAGGTGAGTCAACGATATACATATAGCTTGCTTCTCAAATATTTTAACTACAGGACATTTTTATTGTTCAAAGGGAGAAGGATATTCGGACGCTGCGGAAAACAATGGAATCATACAAAGGTGTTTCGATCATATATTTGAAACGATCTCCATAGCGACGAGCGTTAGGTACCTGGCCTTGGTCAGCTATTTGGAGATTTACAATGAAAATATCAGAGACCTCTTGAGTGCAAACGAGCCAAATAGCCTTAGAAACCATCCGCTTAAAGATGTGCCAGGCGTAGGCGTCACAGTTCCCACACTAACTACTCAGGCTGTTATGAATGCAATGGATTGTTATAACTGGTTGAGTGTGGGTAACAAGAACCGCATTACCGGAGCCACATTGATGAACGAGAAGAGTTCACGATCACATACTATATTCACAATAAGTCTCGAACAAATTCAAGAATCCTCTTCAGACAATACAACAACCCCGTCGGATCAAACTATCGGCGGCATACGTCGAGGCAAATTAAACCTAGTCGATCTGGCTGGCTCCGAAAGGCAGTCGAAAACGGGCGCTTTTGGCGACCGATTGAAAGAGGCGACAAAGATCAATTTGTCACTCTCAGCACTGGGAAATGTCATATCAGCACTTGTCGATGGCAAAACAAAGCATGTGCCATACAGGGACTCGAAGCTAACGCGGCTCCTACAGGTAGGTATCCACTTAAATACTTATCGATGTGCTAGTCTAGTCGGGAGTGCCCGACTAGGGATTACTTTGAACCCTAATCAAATATTGTTTACCTATTAATAGGAAGAGGGCTAACTACTTATAAAAATAAATTTAAAAAAAAACGAGAAAGATAGCGCTTATCTTCGGCACGCCGAAGATTTAATACCCTTGCAGACCCAACCTTTTCAAAATGCTCATAGTGATTTGCCCGTATCAAAGAAGCACAGGGAAAATAGTTAATGCCGAGTATGGATAAGATATCTTAATAAACAAAAAAGTTTTCCATACAACAACTTAATTTTCGACCGATCGTTCCTATGGCAGTTATATGATATAGTAGTCCGATGTTAATAAGATTTTGCTTAAATGGATGGAGCATGGTAAAACTAATAAATGCCGAGTTTGATTAACATAGCTTGATAAACAAAAAAGTATTCCATACAACAACTTAATTTTTAAGTTAATTAAGAAGTTACTTCCCTCTGCCGTTGTCGAACTCGCAACAACTTTCAATTGACAGAGCTACTTCCCTTCGCCTCAAACCACACAACCGCACAGCCAAGGAAAATTAGCTGAACTAAAATTGCAGCACATTCTGCAATTCTACATATCTCTATATATAAAACTGTCTGTCCTGACTGACTGACTGACTGACTGATTGGTGATCAACGCACAGCCCATACCCTAAGAGCTGGGTAGCTGAAATTTTCACTGTAGTTACCTTATATGATGAACGTGCACGTTTCGGGGGGGTTTCGGGGTTTCGGAAAATTCCACCTGCAAGTGTGGAAAAATCGCGAAAAGCCTTTGTATGAAAGTTTTACCAAGTTATTACCATCCGATCGTCCTCGAAACTTAATTTGAAAGATCTTTGTTCAAATTCATTTGAAGGGTGTTTCACACTTTTCCAAAAATGTATTCCTCCTTGGTGGAAATGGAGATGAAAATGGAGATTTGTTGGGTGACGTTTTGCGCTACAATTCATTTCCAAAGATCTATATGAAAAATCATTTGAGACGTTTTTCACACTTTTCGCAGAATCCAAACTTCTTCGTTAGAAATGCGATTCAAAGATTTTTTTGGGCGAAGTTTTAAGTTGTGTCCGATTTGCTTCAAACTTACTTTCAGAGCTCTACATATGAACTTAGGGAAAATGTGTTTCAGTGATTTGAGAAATTCCACCCGCAGACTTATTGGGATGGGGAAGTGGGAAGATAATTGACCTGTACTAATACTATTCTAGAAGCTACATGCCAAATTCGCTGATTCTAGATCTATAAACCTAAGAGATATGTCCAGATCGGTTGCTTGAAAATGGACGAGTTACCGATCCTAGAAATTAGGAGGACCTTCGATCAACATCCCACGCATGGGACATGGGTCGGAGATGCTTCCTTCCTTCACATGCACAAATCCATTATTGCCTTTTACCCATCTGGATCTGTCTAAACTGAGAAAAGTTGTGTATAAAAGTTGCAAAATCGAATATAATCGACATAATAAAATTGGGATAATATATCAACAAAAGAGTAATAAACGGCCTCAAACTCATTTTCAAAGATGATTTCGATAAAGTGATTCCCTGCCGATTTGTTAATAAATCCGAGTCAAAGGTTCTAAGAGCAAAGTTTTGAAAATCGTCCGATCGGCCTTTAAGCTTAGCATAAAAACTTAAAGAGAACGTGTTTCAAAGATTTTGAATAAATTCTAGTCTATACAATTAAAAATTAAATTCATATTTATTTTATTTGACATCCACAGGATTCGTTGGGAGGCAACACAAAAACCCTAATGGTAGCCTGCATCTCGCCAGCTGATAGCAACTACGACGAGACGCTGTCGACGCTGCGATACGCGTGTCGGGCAAAGAATATATCGAATGTGCCCACAATAAACGAGGACCCCAAAGATGCCCAGCTGCGACAATACCAGGAAGAGATCCTCAACTTGAAGCGAATGCTCGATGAAAGCCAGCAGCACGAAAGTGCTGTGCATTACAAGTTTGTTGAGGACAATAATAAAGAGAGGGAATTATGGCTGGAGGAGGCAAGATCACAGATGCGCCAGCAGATGATGGCTGAGATGAGTTACCTTAAGGAAACACCTGGCGAGGCGGCTAAAACTGAACACGCTGTTCCACAGGAACAGGAACCGGAACAGGAGCGGGAAGATTTGCAGTTGCATGCCCGAAAACGAATTGATTTGATAAAACATGCTCTGATCGGCGGCGAAAGAGTTGACGATCTGCAATTGCGAGAGCGTCACAGGATGCGCAAATTGGAAGCCAAGCGTCATCTGAGCGCCATCGCCCGTGCCCTGGGCAGAGTGGAGAGCGAGGATCGTGATCTGTTGCAGGGCCATTATGCTAGCATTCAGCAGGAAATCAACATTAAAAACGAGAGGATTAAGAAGTGCAGCCAAAAGATCAAAATGCTTGAAAGAGAAGTGGCCGATCTAAATTCCGAGTTTCAGTTGGATCGAGAGGATTACTTGGATGAGATTCGTTATTTGGGTCGAAATCTAAAATTTTATCAGCTTCTCATACACAAAGCGCAGCCTATTCTTCGAAAAAGCGGCAGAAATTGGTAAGAAAAAAAAACTCTTCGGCATGCCGAATATAAATACCCTTGAGAATGATTTCTCATTTAACAATTTATCAGCGAACGATCCTTCTTTTATATAAAAATATACATATAGATTAAGATAGACTACTACTTACTACTTTTCTACTTACAAAAAGTTGTTTTTTTTTTTAGGAATCCAGAACAAATTTTGGAGAATTCGTTTTGGAATGATGATCTCAAAACCTGGAAATTACCCAATGATATTGAAAATAATTTAAAATTACCTCCTGCCGATCTTAGAGTGGGATTTCAGAAAAGAAATGTTTTTGAAAGCAAGGAATTGAATCCACATTTAGGAACTCCGGATGAAACAGACTCTACAGAATCTAATGATAGTACTGTAAGTATATTTGTATAATTATAACTGATCACCTGATCATTACAATAGTTTTTTGTTTTTTATTTGGAAGCTTATTGCTAAGGAAACACCGGAAACGTATAAGATAAATATACTGAAGAATTACTTTCGGCCAAATCGCAAGATCAACGATCAATGGCTTCAACGAACTAAAAGCTCCCAAGCATATATCCATGGTAAATACAATATAATAAAAAAGGTTTAAGCATAAATATTTATGTGTACTTGTGCATTCTTTCAGATTTTAAACTTCGCAGAAATACTCCTCTACCGATTAATGAGCTACAATCATCCTTTCTTTATAAAAATTCACATTTTAAACATGATTATGCAGACTTTCCAAATAAAAAGGCTTGGAACGATACGTCTGATTAAATAATTCAAGCTGAAATGCTATCAACTATTTTGTACAATTTTAATAAAAAAAAACATCTCGAATTACAATAAACCTACTGCAAAATAATGTGAAATTTGCTTAATATGCGTATTTTTTATAATTAAATGAGCCAAATTTTGTATTTATTGATTTAGAGACCGAGATCCATTTTCAAATAGAAGTTGAGTTCAAGATAGTACGGAGAGAATTAAATATTCCCCGGGTGGAAATTGGATTAAAAGGTAGTCTAGTTTATATTCAATCAAATCCAAAACCGACTCAAAAAGATTCCATGCTCAACTACCCTTATTAAGAATACCGAGGTAAAATACAAGAATCAGAGCACTGAGAATAAGCCAAAGTAGTTTCCTGTAGTGCGAGTGAAATTCAAAACGTAGATGCCGTTCTATCAGACAAAAAATACGGATCTCTAACTCTCTGGGAAAGTGAGCGAGTTTTGGAGGCGAAGAAAAACTAAGTCGACAGTTGACCTTACCTTAGATATTCACACTAATTAAAGGACAATAATTTACTACAAGCTTGTTTCGGAAATCGTAAGAACATGGAAAAACATTCATTTGCGTTCCATTTAATGACACTCTTTTTAGATAAAAATAAATGTTTCTTATAATATAACTTAGGTACGTAGCTACATATATACTTACTATGTTTTTGTTATTATTATTTTAAATATATATACTATATCCTAACAATACGCTAATCCAAGGGTTGAGTTTTTAAAATAAACTAACATTTTAGTCGGCATACATTACAAAAGGGGCATGGTTATCTGACATAGTTGTATCACGCAATTCTACTTTTATTAAATTTGTAGAACTTTCCCCACTGGGACTTAGAGGTTCGTTGCTGGGGCAAGTGGCATGGCGCGGATTACCTGTATTTCGCCTGAAATCATAGTTAATCATTGCAATATATTGTATTTTGAATTAAGCTTACTTACTTGGCTTTCGCATGAGTTAAAATATGTGATTTTAAATTTGTAGACTGAGCGAACTTTTTGTTGCATGCATCGAACGGGCACACGAACGGCCTGTCTCCAGTATGTATTCTCACATGTGTTCTATATTAAGAAAAAACGTACGATACAAAAGACGCTTCGATATTTAGATAGAGTTTTTACATACCTCAAATTAAAGTCGAGTGAAAATCGTTTCCCGCAGCCTTCGAAAGTACATTGAAATGGCTTTTCGCCCGTGTGAACTAGCTGATGCCTCTTTAGTTTAGAGCTTTCCACAAATGCCTTTCCACATTCTGCACAGACGTGAACACGGGGACCGTGTGTATGCAAGTGCTTGCGCATTGCGGACGAATCCCGAAAGTATTTATGACATCCTTTATGAGGGCAAGCAATCTTTTTATCGTTCGCAAACTGCGAAAAATCGGATGCATCGCTACCGTTTGCCACAATGTCAGTTGATGGCGCTGCTATAAATAAAACGAAATAATCGTATTACACAGATACCAAAACATTGTCTATAAGTGCATATATATATATATGTTATATCGCTACCTTGACGAACCACACCAAAGGGTACCGATCCTGTTGCAGCTACATCATTCATTATATCACAATCAATGTCATTTGGCACTAATGATTGATTCTCCACGGTTAGAAGCGATTCTTCGTTAATAAGCCGACACCCCTGCGACATAACTGCAAACGATGTGTGCGTTTCGCAATTTAAATTTCTTTTAGAGTTGCTGTTGCCTTTATCCGTTGTCCCAGTTGTCCCAGTTAATGGAACAATCATATGAGGCTGAAGTTGAAGGAATTGTTCTTGCTGTTGCTGGAAAAACAACTGTTGCTGATGTAATACTGTGTCATTTTTCTTAATCTGTTCTGGGCTCAATGGCTTGTTGGATGCCGCGTTGTGGCCATTTTCATTTTCATTTCCATTCAAATAGTCGGCTTCCTCTGCATTTTGATCAGAACTGGAATACTCATCATCCGATGTCCCAGAGGCCCACATAGTTACACTAAACTCTCCCTCCATAGTTTTGATTTGAACTAATTTCTGCTCCCATCGTCTCGACTTTCCATTGGCCGTCATCAATGAAATGTTCTTTCTGTCCATAGCTTCCGAATCATTAGAAGGCTCTTTAGCGCTCTCGTGTTGACGCTGCTGCAACTGCTGCATGCAATTCACGAAGTCTTGTGTGACGTCTTTTTCAGTTTCCTCGATAAATTGATTCGTTGTTTGCAGTTCCAAGTTGTTGGCGTTTGTTTTTGCTTGCCTGCAAAAGTTAATGAGTTATTTCTTAAAATAAAAGCCGAGTTCTTGAACTTGTACTTACATTTTAGTTGATAGGCAAATATTTTTTGCCGTCTTCAACAATGATTTACCATCAATGTTTATGCTGTTGTGTGCTTCCGACTGAACATATGAGTCATTCTGTGAAACAAGCACCATCCTGGCGCTCTGACCAATGTCCTCTGAGCCTAAAACTGACAAAATGCATAATGCAATTATATGAAACTATTTTAATAAACCTCTGCACGCTGAGGCTTATATATATATATATATATATATATATATATACATATATACTGTTGCACTGTTGCCCCTCGGGAGCAGAAACAATTTCTGGCATTGTCTATTCAACAATAAATTTATATATACTTACTGTTACTTATGTTTTGCACATTCAGAGTGCGAAGCTCGTCGGACTTGGACATTTCTTCCTCATCGTTTTGAACTAATATCCCATAATGTTCATAGGCAAAGTTATTTGGATCCATTACTGTTTCAATTATTGTACATCGCAGGTTATGCCAAAATATGCTACATACAAAGTTGTGTGTTTTATGATCTATGCAAAGTATTCACATACATATGTTATGAAGAGGATAATGAAGTTACTTTTTAGGCGACTTTCTGAGAGGTTGGTTCTGTTGCACTCAGACGCCGAGCTAGATTTCAATTAATTTCACACAATTACACACGATTTCCTAGTAAATTTGTACACTTGATTTGCCGTCACATACACATACATATGTAATGTTATTTATTTTGAGATCAAGAGTTAAGCGTAGGGTCCATCCATAGGCAATGAAATGGAGTTTTCATCAAGCCCGATGCCAGCCGTATCCGTATAACATTGAAGACGTGTGAGCAATGTTTTTTTGCTTTTGGAACGGATGCTTAAATTATATTTTGTGTGCTAGCACTAAATAAAACAAAAATTTGTAAAATATTGTTTATGAGAAAAACAATTAGAAGCTTTTTGGATTACAAAAATAATTTAAAAGGAACTAAGCAGAACAAAAATGGATGCGATGAATAACTGACGATGTGACCAAAATTTGCAAACAGTAAAATACCAAATTTCAATACAATAAACAGTCTATACACTGTAGACTGAATGAATGACGATGGAAAATACATCGTTTCTCTTTTTTATAGTAATTGATATTTTTTCTATATCAGATTTTTATTTATTATCTTAATACCAACAAATAAACGATATATTTCCATTGAGTATTCGTATTTAAGTATAAATATATTTTATACATAAGTATTTCTAAATAGTTATATATTTTATAATATTGTTCTTATAGAGTTTTCTAGTTGTTATTCACATGCTTATATTTCAACTACTAATTTTCTGACAGGAAAAAATTGTACTTATTTGTGCAATAATTGTTTGTTATATTTGCTTGTTTGGCTTCACGTAACGCGGCAGTAAACGATGTTTTTGTATTCTTCTCAGCATCATTCTTAATTTTTTTGTTTTTTTAATATTATTTAATAATTAAACCATTTTTTATCTGTCAAAAGTCATAGCATCCACCCGCGGCTTTTCCGCGGTGAAAAAAAGATTTGTGAAAGAATTATTCATATTTAATATTTGGTATCTTTGCTTAAGTACGTAAATTATATACTTTAGTCATGCGAAAGCAAGCGATGTGCCCTGCAGCATCAAACTGATTTGGTTAACGATACAAAGTTGTAAAATATATAATTCTAATTAATCATAAATAAAAACATGTTATGGTATTTATTGTTTTTTATTTTAAGCATCCCGTTTAAGTACTCGTGCATTTATCGAAAATCGTTTGGTGTAAGACAACCCTGAGGCAGTTTTCAGGCATTTATCAACACTGCTTACAGTTTCCTTCTTTTGACAGCGTAGTCAACGTGATTCGACCTTTTCCGGTTTAGGCGTTTACGATGGCGGTCGGCAAAAATAAGGGTCTCTCGAAAGGCGGCAAAAAAGGTGGAAAAAAGAAGGTGGTCGATCCATTCTCGCGCAAGGATTGGTACGATGTTAAAGCACCAAACATGTTTCAAACCAGGCAGATTGGCAAGACCCTAGTGAACCGCACTCAGGGCCAAAGAATTGCCTCTGACTACCTGAAAGGTCGTGTTTTTGAAGTGTCGCTAGCCGACTTGCAAAAAGATATTGACCCCGAGCGCTCATTCCGCAAATTCCGTCTGATTGCTGAAGATGTGCAGGATCGCAACGTGCTCTGCAATTTCCACGGCATGGACTTGACAACAGACAAGTACAGGTGAGTGCGCTCAAATTTTCTTTGACGCGGCCATGTGTTTATACATACATACATACATACATATGTATGTATTGTGTGTGTGTGTTTGGCCTATGTGAGTGTGTTACAACGTGTGCGCCTTTCACAAACAGATCAATGGTCAAGAAATGGCAAACTCTCATCGAGGCCATCGTGGAGGCCAAGACCGTCGATGGATACCTCTTGCGCGTCTTCTGTATTGGATTTACGTCCAAGGACCAGCAATCGCAGCGTAAGACATGCTATGCCCAGCAGTCGCAGGTCCGTAAGATACGCGCCCGCATGACGGACATCATCACCAATGAGGTCAGCGGCGCTGATCTGAAGCAGCTGGTTAACAAACTGGCCTTGGACTCAATTGCCAAGGATATTGAGAAGAGCTGTCAGCGTATCTACCCATTGCACGATGTGTACATTCGCAAGGTGAAGGTACTCAAGAAGCCACGTTTCGATGTATCCAAACTTCTGGAGCTCCATGGTGATGGAGGCGGCAAGACCACAGAGGCCGTAGTTTCCGCCGAGGGAGCCGTAATTGATCGCCCCGAG